TTTGCTCAACACCCACAGAGCCAACCTTTGGTTTATACTGCAACTATGCTGAGCAGACCTTATATACAGTTTCTGGGAGAGGGCCTATTATCTAGTGTGATCAACGAGTGGAATAAGGCCAGCACGCTTAAGTCCTCGGCTACGATGAGTCTTGGCTTCGTTCTAGCACAGCTATCGATGGCCCCCAAATGTTCCATCTACCCAATTTCACTCACAAGACTTGGGTCCACCCGTGGTATGGTTTTCGGGCACTCTCCAAAGGTGCCGCATGCTGGGATCGACCTCGATAAAATCAGGAAGTCGTCTTAACCAGTCGACCATGATGAGATTCGAGCCCGGATCTCATGGTCAGAATGCGAACGTTTTAACTACTCGGGTATATATATATATATATATATATATATATATATATATATATATATATATATATATATATTGTGAAATAGACAAAGTCAGACAATTATTATAAGACATTTTTATGTTGAAACATTCTTTTTTATATAGATAAAAATATTTAAGTAAATGCTCTGTTTATAATAAACAGTATTAACAATATTACGGGTTGAATGTTCATAGAAAATATCCGTCCTCCGACATGAATCGAACTTGTATCCTATATGGAACCGTCATACAGCCTGACGTGCCTTTAAGCGAATTAGCCACAGAGGAGCGTTTCAGTTAGTAAGGTCGATTTTACAGTTTTTATCATGGAGGATTGTAGTTTAAAACACACACACACACACACACACGCACACACACACACACACACACATATATATATATATTATCTTATATAGTATATATACCACTTCGAGCACAATACACAGCAACTTGTCCGAAAATTGGAAAAATACAACAAAAATTTAGAGACAGTTTTTTAATCAAACTTGTTTATATATATATATATATATATATATATATATATATATATATATATATATATGTGTGTGTGTGTGTGTGTGTGTGTGTGTGTGTGTGTGTGTGTATATAATATAAAATAATATATATATATATATATATATATATATATATATTAATTATTATTTATATATTATATGCGCAATTTGTCTGACGATCGCAAAAGCGTGAAACCCAGGGTCACAAACTCACATCAATACAACCAAATATATATATATATATATATATATATATATATATATATATATATATATATATATATATATATATAAATATATATTGCTCAGGTTAGTTTTTGAATTCAGAGTTTTCCGAGACCAGTTGACACCCAAGGTCATAGAATCCAATCTGTCCAGCTATTTAACCCATAGCTGGGAGGGGGAGAAGTGATAGATATATAACTTTGCCAAGAGTATTAACCTGTATGTGAATTTAATGAACGCAAGTGGGATTCGAACTCGGCTCTTCTGAAATGCAATCCATTAAGATTTAAGTAATTTACTTTTATTTTTATTCATAGAAAATATTTCTTAAATTCTATTCTGCGATTATAAATTAGCAATGATTAAATAACAAAGCAATTGTTACTAATTTCTTGAAAATATATCATTCAATAATATCTGTGGACTGATCAGCGGCCATGAAGTTATATCAAATAACATTTATTGTTTACTGGGAGCTTCATACTATATATATATATATATATATATATATATATATATATATATATATATATATATGAAAATAAGATAAACAACAAATAGGAAACTTTTATTAATCATGTTTCACTTATTAAAATGAGGTATGGTGAGAAATATATGGAGATATTTCTGCCTTTTCAATTAGATTTGACATCAGTAAATTTCTTTGAACATCGAAGGAACACGTCGTCTCCATTTGAATTCAGAATGTCATAAATTATACTAACGTTTGTTTAACAAGTCAAATGTACGTGAAACATGATTAACCAGTGAAAATCAAAGACGAAAAAAATAGCAAAATTTCTTTCTTGTTTTTTCCATATTTCATAGATCCTAACTCATTTAAAACAGTTTCCACGCCAATAGACGGATTGCACTTTGTTGAAAATTAAAATGCGGCATCTATTTTATATATATATATATATATATATATATATATATATATATATATATGTGCGTGTGTGAGTGTGTGCGTTTGTGTGTGTGTGTAAATTATATATGCGTGGAAAATGTGAAATACAAATATTGAAAGAGGACAAACGCACACATATAAGTGTGAGTGTGTGTGCGTGTGTCGTCTTTCACGCTGTATGTGTATTTCACGTATTATTCATGGAGAACAAAAAATATCTTAGGAATAGATTCTTCTAATTACTATTTTAATCTGTTTATATCTGTATATCTATCAATTTCAATCTCTTTCTATCTATCTATCTATCTATCTATCTATCTATCTATCTATCTAAGGCTGTTAATATCTCTCTCAATTTGTTCATCTATCTATCTATCTATCTATCTATCTATCTATCTATCTATCTATCTATCTATCTCTGTTCATATCAATTTATCTGTTTATCTATATCAGTCTGTCCATATCTATTTATCTATTTCAATTTATTCGTATCTATCTATCTATCTATCTATCTATCTATCTATCTATCTATCTATCTATCTATCTGTTTCAATCTGTTCATATCTATCTATCTATCTCTATCTATCTATCTATCTATCTATCTATCTATCTATCTATCTCAGTCTGTTCATATCTGTCTATTTCAATTTGTTCGTATCTATCTATCTATCTATCTATCTATCTATCTATCTATCTATCTATCTATCTATCCCAGCTTCACCTCTATGTTGGTGTCTTCTAAACTTCCTATCTTAACTCGCTATCAACATATATCTCCCCTGAATAAACTTTCACGCGCGCAAGTAAAAACATTGTTTTTTTTCTTTTACACCACCCCCCACACACACATTATCCAATTTGGTTTTCTATAAATGGGACTTACCGGCTGCCCTTGTTTTCACAAAAACATATTTATGGTCGTATTATTAAACAAACACAATATACTGATCTGTATAAAATTTCAGTTATCTGTTTTGATCAGTTGGGCTCTTATGTCCATCGTCTTTTGTGTTAAATTTTTATAAGTTCTAATGTTAATTATGTTTAAATGAAAATGTCCATGAAGATGGTCTTAAATAGACCGAAACGTCCGACGTCGACTTTATATTAACACTAATACTACATAATTGCATATTCAAATTTTTGTTTGTTTTTTCTGTATTTTTCTTTCATACTGTCGGATCTATATCCATATATTTGCTTACATACTGTCTACTGGAAATACAAATATATATATATATATATATATATATATATATATATATGTGTGTGTGTGTGTGTGTGTGTGTGTGTGTGTGTGTGTGTGTGTGTGTGTGTGTGTGTGTGTGTGTCTGCATGTCTGTGCGTGTTTGTGTGTGTGTCTGTTAAATGTCATAATCGTTCCTTTTCTTTAATATTGGAGAATTCTTATAACTTTTTAGAAAAATAATGGAGAGCCTTTAGGTTACCTTCTTGACTGTTTTGAAATTCTGTTTTCCTTCTCTTCTGTTTGTTGCCACACAAGGTTAGTGTAATCTACTCTGCTATTAAAGAAGAAGTAAGTGTTTCTTTTCCCATTTAGTCATCCATTTAACTAATAATAGTCTGATGTATCACGTTAGTGATAACTTGCTTTTTATCTGCTTGCTTTGGTTATGTGTTTTTCTGCATCTTGAATGATTGGTATAGATAACTTTAAAAAAATCATCAATTGAAATGTTGATTCTGGTGCGCGTAACAAAATCTTCGAACACTTATTTCCTTCAATTTTACTTCATCACAAAGCCATGATACTTCTATCTATCTATCTATCTATCTATCTATCTATCTATCTATCTATCTATCTATTTATCTATCTCTCTATCTATATCCGTCAGTTCATATCTATCTATCTAGATCCGTCTGTTCATATCTATCTATCTATCTATCTATCTATCTATCTATCTATCTATCTATCTATCTATCTATCTATCTAGATCTGGCTGTTCATATCTATCTATCTATCTATCTATCTATCTCATCTAATCTTTTCATATCAATCTAACCTAATCTATCTATCTATCTATCTATCTATCTATCTATCTATCTATCTATCTATCTATCTATCTATCTATCTATTCGTCTCATTGTCCATTATTTTCATCTAAGAACAAGAAACAATTAATCCATATCAATTTCAACGTCCAAATTCCAACCATTCTATACTTACCGAAATTTAATCTGACATGGTTTCAGAAAGTAACCATTCCTTCATGCCGAAACATTTCATGCATTTTCTACCATCGTAGCTGTCAAAGCAACGATCATAACGACATTATATGAATATTAATCTTTCATTCATATATTCATGATGGAGAGTCACACCTCAGCCAAATACGATCATAAGATAAGACCACTTGTTATGTGGCATCTTGTTAACAACTAGCTCAATAAGCCTAGTGTGATACAAGGACACAGCTATAGTGTACATAGTAAGGATCGAACTCACTACTCAGTAGTTATAACAAAACAGATTTTCTTACATTGGAGTGTTGGCATTAATGCTAGTTTCTCATCTTAAATTAATGTGGTAGAATGTGCCAAGTTCATGGCACCCGGTGAAGATCGAACTTACACACTGAATTAATTTAATCAAGTTATAGCAATCAGTTTCTCTATCACAATCCTTATACACCATAAAAACATTTACGTAGACAAGCAAGCATAAGAGGCATTTACTTGTGGGTAGCGAATTCGATCCTGACCCTATGTCCTGTCTTTGATTTAGAATAAGTTATGTAACAGTTTTGTATTTTAATCGTTTGTTTATGGACTTTTTGTTCATACCGATACATTTTTTGTTCATACCTATATAAATGTTTTTGTTTATACCTATATAGATTTTTTGTTCATACCTATATAATTTAGATACAATAACAAAAAATCAATGTTAAAAAACTCTTGTAATAATATTAAAGGAAAACAATAATACAAATTATTGACAAATGAAATTATGAGACAGATAGATAGATAGATAGATAGATAGAGAGAGAGAGAGAGAGAGAGAGAGAGAGAGAGAGATAGATTGGTAAGAATAGAATGACAAAAACATTTTGAGATAGATAGAGAGTGAGAGAAAGAATATGAGAAAATAAAAGAAATAATATATATATATATATATATGTATATATAGATATATTGATAGATAGATATATTGATAGATAGATAGATAGATAGTGAGAGAGAAAGAATATAAGAAAATAAGAGAAATAATAATAAATAAAATAGATATTAACAGACTGTGATAGATAGATAGATAGATAGATAGTGAGAAAGAGACAGAATATAAGAAAATAAGAGAATATTAAATAAAATAAATAAGATGAATAGATAGATTGCTAAGAATATAATCACATAAGAACATGTTGAGATAGATAGATATATAGTGAGAGAGAGAGAAAGAATATGAGAAAATAAGAGAAATAATAATAAATAAAATAGATAGATAGATAGATAGATTAGAATCGCAAAAAGTGAAATGTAAAATCTCTTCTATAATTGTTGTTTCCTTTATTGTTTGAAATATGCCAAAGCAACAACTATTACACGGAATAGAGGCAAGTATTATGTTGTTTGTATCGTCTGCCATATTAACTCTCGTTTTTATTCTGATTATCAAGCGTTATTTAACATGTACTCTACAATAAAACTTAAATTATTTCTTTTACTTTTATTTTTTTTTTCCTTATATTTTTCTCTCCCATCTTTTTTTTATTTTCTTGGTTCTTCTTCGTCTTCTTCTATACATCGATTTTCATTTCACCCCCCTCCTTTCAGTGCCTTCTGTCTCCGCCTCTCTGGGCTTCGCTTTTTAAACTGCGTTCTCTTCCTGCCGTCTTGCTCTCTCTTGCTTTTCTGCCAACTGCAAGTCGAGTGTCGCTGTCGACCAATAATCGGAAGTCACATCCACAAGACGGCCTCCGCCTCTTCATCTTTTGTTGTTGCTGCTGCTGATGATGCTTCTTCAACTCCACCTTTTTTTATTGTCTTCTCCCAGCCATCCTCAGGCGTCTTTTCCTTGTGTCGAAGACGTTAGCGAGAGAATGCCGGGGAGGGAGAAGCTTTATTCTTCCATCTGCTAATTCCTTCCATCCATCTTTAATTTCTTTAGACATTTTTCAAATCTTCCTTTCGAAAATAAAAAAATAATAAAATCATTCAGTTTCTTTTTTTTGTTGCTTGAAATCGTTTATATGTGTGCCTGATTTCGCCTGTTTTGTTGAGCAATTCTTTCAATAATTTTATTTATTTATGTCTTTTTATTCATTCTACTAACTCGATTTTCTTAAGTTCTTCACTAGCCACTTTTCTCCTTCATATTTTTTTTTTTGGGGGGGCAATGTTTCCTTTTAAAGGAGAATATCACTTGTTCTCTCTTTCATCCATTTTATTTAATTTTCATTCTATTGTTCAGTTTAAAGTTTCTTTTCACTTTCCATTATTCTTTTTTTTCTTTCTTTTAGATAGATATGTCGGCGTGATGGTGAACAAACATTCCAACAATGCTCCATTCCAACAATGCTCTTTTACTATGGCCTTGTACCTGACTAAGCTTCGATAATAAATATTACGGCGCTTACTACCGTTCGATATTTTAAAGGCAAATTTCGTAAACTATTTTTTGGCATTCACCGCATTAGGTTCAATGAATATTTTACTGCATACCATAGCTCGATATTAGAATGCGTGTCATACAGACCAGTTCTTTTTTTTTAGGGCATTCACCACACGTGGCCTTGTGCCACACTAAGCAATATTTAGAAAACTCCTCGCAGACCAATCTTTCTGGGGCTTCCACCACATCTGGCCTTTTGCCGACTTAAGTTCAATAAATATGACACCTACCATAGAAGGCTCGTCTCGTAGACCAATTTTTGTCGTTCACAGCACGTAGCCTTGTGCCATACTAAGCACAATAAATGTTTGGGCACCTACCAGAGCACAATATTAGAATGCCTGTCTCACAGATCACTCTTTTTGAGACCATTCAGCACACGTGGCCTTGTGCTACACTAAGCTTAATAAATATTATCGCACCTACCATAGTCCGATATTTAAAAGGCTCGTCTCGCAGACCAGATTTTGTCACTCACAGCAGGTGGCCTTGAGCCACACTAAGTATAATAAATTTTTGGGGGCCTACTATGGCACGATATTAAAATACCTGTCGAACAGACCACTCTTTTTTAGGACATTCATTACACTTGGCCTTGTGCCATGCTAAACTCAATAAGTATTAGGGTGCTTACCATAAGTTGATACTTAAAAGATTCGTCTCGCAGACCAATCTTTTTGGGGGTACTCAACACACCTGGCCTTGTTCGCATCTAATTTCAATAAATAGAAGTGCGCCTACCATAATTTGATTTTTCGAAGATTGTTCTCGCAGACGGTTTGATTTTTTGGGTGGGGGAGACTCACCATACGTGTTTTGTGCCGAATAAATTTCAGTAAATATTAGAACACCTACCACGGCTTCATATTTAGCAAACACATCACCCGGGACAATCTTTTGAACGCTCAACGCCTTGTGCCGAATTAAAATTAATAAATATTAGGGCACCTACCATAGCTCCATAGGTAGCAAGTGCGTCTTGTAGACCAGTTGTCTGTTTTATGGTGGCAGGTGTCGTTCTTCCAACTTTTGCCAATCTAAATAAATAACCAGTAAATTATGTTTGTCGGTCAGTGTGCTTGAAACTCATCTAACTCGGACCAAACTTGCTCTAGACAGACATAGCTTTTTGGACTCAAGATTTTTTTTTAAAGCGTTTCACCCTCAAGCAAGACGGAAAGCCACTAGGACGCAAGGGGTTACAGAAAATTTGGAGCAAGATCAGATAGGAGTGATAGAAGAAAGGATGAGGAGAAGAGTAGTGGATAGATCAAGGCAACTGGAGATACAGAGGCCAGTGAGAGAGAAAACCGGAAACCCCTTCTTAAACAAGAAACAAGGCGTAAGCCTCTACTCATGTCCAAGAGAAGGGCGGGGAGTGTTGACCGGGTGGTAGGAAAGCCCACCCACTCCTATTACATATAACACATACAACAACAACAAAAACAGAGGTAACGATGAGAGGGGGAGGTAATTTGCAAAAAGTCCTGGCTGACACTTGCATTTACCCTTTCGCAACATTAAGTTTTAAGTTTTAACTTAGTATAAGTCCCATTGTCTATTCTAAAAAGAAATTGAAGAAAATAAGGTTATCCGGATTTATTGCCATGTCATAATAAATGCCCCAACATACGTGGCAGTGAGTGTTATTCCGCTTTCTTCCTCATGATAACAAGTGAATGTACAGCTTACCTTAAGTCCAAGCATCGACCCGGTGGGGGGGGGGATCAACGGCCAATCCACCGCCCTCACCAAATACTGGGCCTGGGAGGCATGCTTTCAATAAAAATTAGGAACAACAGGAGAAAGAATGGTGGCGAAAACAATTCCAAGTTCAGAAATTTTATCAAGCAACAATAGTCGGCCACTAAATCATGAGAATACTGACGAGACACTTTCGCATCTAGTCAAAGACATTCAATTTTCACCTTTTTTTCTGATTTTTCTTTCGAAACGGGAACATTTAAACATTAAAAAAGAAAAGAAAAGAAAAGAAAAATAAAGAATTAAAGATCACGAGATTGAGAATTTGTCCTTCATCTTGGTGTTTAAACATCCAGTATTTTGATTTCTCTCCGGATGAGGAATGGACAGTTAAAAATTTAAATTTTAATATAAAAAAAAATGAATGATTTTAAAAGTTTTTAATTGTTTATATTCAATTTAAAATATCTCCCAAACAGTTCGAACAATGTAAATTGTGTAAATAGATACTTAGTATCGTTTATATATCAGTGTGATGTGTCGTTTCATAATTATGATTATGGCTCTCCACTACTTCTTATCCTTTGTAGCTCTAAGTCTTATCTTTTTACCACCCTCCAAATCCTCATTCTAATATCCATTTATACAAGCTTCTCAGGCAGATTACTCTGTTCTTCCTACCTTCAATGTCCCGTGAGTGTCAACTTCTCCAAGCCTTCGCGTCATATATGTTGAGATATCGAATTGAACCCTTTAAAATGTCACGTGGAATTAGAACAGTCTACCACTGAAGAAGGTCGGAGCGTACAACAACTGAAACGTCGTGAATATGATAACAAAAATGAGGACAACAGTCTGAACTATGTAAATAGATTTTTTAATAAAATTAAAAAAAAAATAAAATTTTGGTATAATATTAACATCGTGTGATTAATTCTTAATTCTCTTTAAAAAAAAAAAAATAATAAAATAAAAAAAAATGAAAAATATATTTCTTCTCGAAAGGGGAAAAAACTTACGATCGTTTCTAGTTTCTAAAAGATATTTACACGTTTGATCTTCCTTAGTGAAAATCGCCAATGTTTTAAAATGATGAAAACGTTACCTTCGTTGAAAGTTTAAAAATTCAAGAAGCATTGCACTTAATCATTGTTTCTGTATTTGATTATGCATGAGAGAGTGTGTGAGTGAACAAGTGAGAACAAAAAGGAAGAAAACAAATTTTAAGAAATATTATTTTTCTCATGAAATTAGGCGTGAAATTCAGAAAGCCCCAAAACGGGCTGCCGTTTGCCCATGTCTAAAGTCTAAACATAATTGGGAACATAAAACCAATGACTTTGTGCGGAAAAGACACGAAAGTTTTTATGGGCCACTTCCTGGTGGCCCACAAACGGAGAAAAATGTCGTGGTTTGGGTATATTACAAGGCATGATAGCCTGTGCAAGTCCATCATGCAAGGTACCGTTGATAGTGGACGTAGCAGAGTACGCCAATGCAAAAACTGGTTGGACAATGTCAAACAAAGGACAGGTATGACTATACCAGATTTGCTGATGGCTACCGTCGATAGACAGTTATCGAGGACCGTTATGGAGGAGATTTAGTTTGGGACCCCCCCCCAAGGGGATGATGATGATGATGATTATTCTAAACACTGAATAATGGGTATTGACTCTTCCAGATCATTAGTACTGTGTAAGCTCTGTTCCATCCTAAAGCTTCAATAGTGTGGCATTGTGCCAGATAAAAGCAAGATTATCATTTGAATATTTTTGAGAAAATGCTGCGATATGTAATGCAACTCCTAGGTGTTTCGAATATTTAATTAAGGCAAAATAATATAAAGACGCGAATAATGGGGATAATATAGGCAGATTAAAAACATCTGAAGGAAAATACAAATTGCAAGGAAACTGATAGTTACAATCAAAATAAAATATTTGAATTTTTGGGAAGATATAATTAGAAAAGAGGCCTGAAAAATTTAAGACCAAAGGGAATCTAAACAGGTGGAGGAAGCAAAAAATAACCTACTTAATATTTCCATGCAAGTGAATGACAGAAGAATAAGCAAGAGGGATATTAAAGATCGTTTCAAACTCATCGGCGCCATTTTAAACAGGAGGAGAGGTTTATCACTTGTTTCCTGTTTAGGATTAAATTCCATCGCAAGTCTGCTTCAGCTGTATACTCCGAACGCTTGTTCTTTAATACGCGAATATAAGTCCACACAGTAACACTCTGGCTTGAGTGGTTCTTGGGCCTTACACTGGTTGAAAATGAGTAAAACCAAAATGTTATAAAGCAAAAAAAGACATAAAATAGTGGAGAGACTTGAATGGTGACATCCATAAAACATGACAAACCATTAAATAGAAAGGCTCATCATTCAGACAGACAAACGCAACATTAAGAAATTTTACATTTTGTCATTCGCTTAAGTAGGAATGAGCTGATATATATATTTATATATATATATATTGTTAAATATAACAGACAACGAATGTCTATTATGTTTGATGTGTGTGTGCGCATGTGTGTGTGTATATATATATATATATATATATATATATATATATATGTATATAGATAGATAGATAGATAGATAGA